GCTAGAGGTACAAGTTGCCTTTAATTCATAATGAGTTTTGGTACGGCTCTATAGTGGCCGAGGTTAAACTAGGAGCTACCGCCCAAAGTTCAAACACAAAAGAACTCCTAAGTTGCTTCGAGAAAGTGGAGCATCTAGAAGCTGGTAGTGGGAAATAGTCAAATAGCTGATCAGGCGAGAAAGAGAGGCTTGAAAGTATGGCCTTTGGGATCTGTGCAAGAGGGGCTGGAGGGAAAGCAGTAGAATTTGTTGCTCTCTGGAGAAAGACTTTGGATCTCTGATGGGTGAAAGCTGCCAGGTTCTGAAGCCGTGACTTTTGGGTGTCCTTTGAAATCCTGGTACTTACATCAAAGAGTAACCTTGTTAGTGGTTTCTTCTGTTAATGAAAATAACCCATAAAAATGTGACTACTAGCTAATTGCTTTAATTACAAGATTAGAAAATCTTTGGCCTTAATTTGTGTTCATCTGTTCCTTCTGTTTGTCATGAATGTGATGTTGAAGGAGGCCTGCAACTTAACGTTAAGCCAGAAAAAGAAATTAAAAATGTGAAGGATATACTTAAATGAAGAGACTAAAATGCCATCTGTTAAGCTCATGATGATATTATCATAGACTGTGTTACCTTGGCGAGATTTTACTGATGATTCAAAAAATTGATATTAAAGAGGTACTGAACAACATAGAAAGGTATCTTCCTCGAAGAAGGTCACGTTAAATTTAATAGCATGGAAGAGCAGCATAGATTTGATCAAGGACATGTACAAAAGGGTACGTAAGTCTACCTTTTGTTGATCTAAACATATGTTTTAGAGCATAAATAAGATTAAGTTATTGGTTTTTCTTTTTGTACTGATTCTGAAAGCTAATGTGGCCATTGCTGTTAGCGTTAGGCTATGATTTTTGAGTATATGGCCAATTACTGCTGACCCAAAAATAAACCAGCTTTTTGTCCTCCGCTGTGGCTGACTACATACATTGTCTCACTGCCACTCATCTTTCCTATCAAAATAAGTGCCCTCTGTTACATGAAGCACTAAGCTCTGTTTTCTAGAGAGTGAGGAACTAGGAGTAAATCCCAAAGCAGTATCTCTGCAGTGGCTGCCTGTTGTGATGCTGGAGAGCCTAAACAGAGGAGCTGAAACAAAACTCTGCTCATCCCAGTATGCAAATGAACCAGAAGATAACAGATAAAGCCACCAAAGGATACATTAAAATCCAGAGGCTTTTATGCAGAAAGATGGATCAAGTGAAAGATTTACTACTTCAATTCCAACTAATTGATTTCTGTTGCTTAAATCAGAGCAAAACCTCAATGCTGCCATGTATCGGAACCCATTCGTTCTTCGCTTACAAAGCAGAATGCTCTAATTAACTAAATTGAATGTGTCTTGAAGCTCTTTTAAAGAAAAGACTAATTTGCTTACAATGCATTGGCTAGTCTGTCTAAATTGTCTGGCATCCTTCCAGTTTCAGAGCAGCTGAGATGTGAAATCATTATGGGAGCAAGTATTCCAGTTTTCCTATTTTGGTTGCTCTGCTCTAGGCGTCATAAGAAGAAGGGATGAAAGAGGGAAGGAAAGTGATGGAGAATTGGGGGTTTTTTTCTGTAGTAGGATAAAATAAACCCTGTAGAAAATCAGAATTTGGGAAGTCGCACATCTTGAAACAGCAAAACCAATTCACCTTGTAGAATTCTTTCAGCATTTATGCACTCAATGGCAAAGTTCCATCAACTATTCTTTCCTTAATCTTCCAGTATCACGCAGGAAAAGATCATGCGGGAAAGATGCTCATCTTTGTGATGGTCTCTTTCACTTAGCTTTTTGACAGAATGACTAGCTGCCTGTGTGAAGCCAGGTAATTCTTTACAAACAACTGCTACTAGTCTAGAGATCGAGCTGTTGTGATTTATCTCCATTGGAAGCTGTATATTAAAATTCTAATTACCTATGGTTTAACTTACTAGTACAGCACAAGTAAAAAATAGCTTTTTTTTTTTTAAACTGACTTGTCTGTATGTATGCCACACTTCATATGTTGGTAAGTCTTGGGCGCTCTGTAGCAGAAGCATCTAGAGATTATAGGAATATTGAAGAAATGGGGAAGAATATTAAAATGTCATGTAGGTGGTAAAAAAATACAGATAAGTTAGCATTATACTTGTTTTGTAAAAAGTTTAAGCATCTTTATTTCTTTATTAGAGACTATTGCTGTCAGTTAGAATATTTGATTTGAGATAAGTACATTAAGGTACAAAATTTCATGATGCTTACAGTAATTATCTCCTGAGATGATTTAGATAGAATCTTAGTACTTTTTACAGGTATAATGATTAGAAAAACAGAATGAAAATACAGAACAGTTGCTTGGCCAGGTATGAGTCCTGTTGCTTTACTCTGTTTGCATAAAACTTTCTTTGATATATCAGGAATTTTGAGTATGTATGCACATGATTATAGAAAGGGAGTTCAATCTTTCTTGTAGCTGCTGTAAAATAAGATTACATTTGAAAAATAATGTATTAAAGTAAAAAAAAAAGGAGGAAAGCTTTTCAATATGGGTTTCATCCTATTCTGTGTAGATTTTTTTTTAAAAAAGCAAGAGATTGAAAATCACGTTTTCCCATATTCAAGTTTGGCAAGTAAAATAAATTGGAATATCATATCCTAAAATAAAATAGAATTTGGATTATTTGAAATATGATATAATCAGATTCAAATATAATTTTTCTCAGAGTTCCCTGCCTTAATATTTCTTTGTGTTTCCTGCAGCTTTTGTAAAATTCAATTGGTAGGATTAGTTTTTATCACTGCATCTCTCCAATGCTAAAAGATCTTTGCAAACTTTTCAAACTTCTGTTCATCATAGTGTACCAACCTGTATTCCTCTAGTGATAGAGATACAGATAAAGCACCTGGTCTCAAAATAGATCAGTAATAACTTATTTAAAATACATCATGAGTGACTCATGCCCTTCTACAATTTAAAGGCTTTAATCCTCAGTTTCATTCTTTACTCTGCAACTTGGGGTAGGAACTAAATGGTTTAGGAGTTGATTTCTTTATGGGACCTACTTCCAAAATATTTTGGTTCCCCAGCTAGATCTAAGTAAATAATGATGAGAGAATTAACAAGTGGAAGGAAGGAAAGTAGAAAACTTGCTATTAGTTTGCTTTTTTTCTCACACTAAAGCATCATGATAATTTTCAGGTGATTCCTCGACTGTCTCCGTTTTATTGTGGAGAGGGGCAGTAGCGGCAGTCTGGCTTGTTCTTCAGCCAAGGGTTCAGGATGGTAGTGCCAAAACAGGCTGTGGGCGTTTTGCCCTGTTCTGTCTGCTTCCAGGGCTTGAACTTAAGTTCCCCTTGCAGTTATGCTAGGGAATACTGTGAGGTTTGTTTTTCCCTCAATTTCTACAACAGGTATCTCTCTGGATTCCCAATGCCCCACTGTATGGGCAGTGTGCTAAAACCCAGCAGGGTGAGGAGTGTGTCTCTAAAATTCAGTATTTTATTTGTCAGTGAATCTAGCTGCATTTTCTTGTCTCTTCTCATACCTGCTGGCCACAGTCTGTGTCATGATGCCACAGAGGGACTACAGAGCATTTGGGTTTCAGATTTCTTTCTAGAAAAGATGATTGAATGTTGTGTGCCTGTGTGTTGCAAGTGTTTTGAGTGTTTCTTTCAACAGTTTTGTTGAAATGAAATGTGTTACCTCATGATGGACTTGCAATGTCTACATATTTATGTAAAAAATGCATTTGTGTAAAAGGTGTTTTAATTGTTAAAACACAGTACTTTATAGCAGTGTGCAATAAACCAGTGGTTGATTATTTATTTATTTTGGATGAAGGCAACAGTGGTTATGGCGGTAATGTTAAGATTATTTAGTGGCAACGGCAGTTCCAGCAATCTGCATTGACATTGCGGAAAATGTGAATTTTGTTTTGCATCTGGAGTAGGTTTTGTCTTTCTCAGTGGGGAACATATAAAAAGGCAGGTTTCTTTAAAATTCCTGTCTTCTGTTATTCCTGTCAAATGCAGAGGAAAATAATACAGTGAAGTGTAGACTTAAAGCAATTTTGTCTGTTAAACAATTCTATACAGACAGATTTGTTTTTATTTGTTTGAAAAATATTTTAAACAGAACATGAATTCTGTAAGTAGTGGAAAAAGCATGAGACAGACAAACCATCTATAGTGAAAGCCCTCAGCCTTTTTCATGTTCTGAATCTACCTTTATTATGTTAATGAAATTCCATGCCGTTCCCAGCAGGGGTATGTGAAAATTATCTTTTCAAATAAATGAATACGGATTACTTATTGCATATCAAGAAGCTGGTTGTAGGTCTTTGATCTTTGTTTTGGTCCAGATGTAGATCAGAGCAGTCATTAAGACTCTCTAACTTGTGCAGTGTCCGCTTCTCCTCCTGGCTGGCCGGTGAGATGGCAGGTGGGTGTGCCAGCCCTTGCCCACTGGGGACTCCAGTGTGGAAACCACCTGCTTTCCATTCCTTTGTTCACCCCCAATGGTCCCAACATAACTCGGTTTCTGATCCCTCCAGGGTACTCTGTGAGGTGTTCTTTTTGGGAAGAATGAAGTGTATATCACAAGGGTTAGTGAGAGGAAATGAAAGAAGTCTGATTTACTTGTACTTCTAGTTTATTTACTGATATTTTACAGATAGATAGGAGGTAACCAGCTCTTTAAATCATGCCTTTTCATCAGAAGTCCCATTAAGTAGTCAAAGTTAAGTAGAGTGAATCTGAGAAACAGTCTCTAGGAAAACTAGAAAAATGAACTTTGCCACTGTTCGTTCTATGCAATATTCTACTGTTTTCTCTGTATGTGATGACCATAAGAGTTAAATGCTGTGTTTTCTATGTTGCTTAGTTAGTTGGTGCCTCACTAATGAATTCTGTCAAAAGTTAGAAAAAATTTTGTGGGATTTCTGTGGGAACGGTATACATGCTATCCTATATTTTGCTTCAGGATAATGTTTTGAACATCATAAATCAAATAATGGATGAATGCATTCCACATGAACGGGCCAACCGAGACTTTTGTGTTAAGTTTCCAGAGGAAATACGCCATGACAACCTGGCAGGACAGCTTTGGTTTGGAGCAGAAGTAAGTCTCTCATACTTCTGTTACTTGGGGTTAATGGACATTTGTTTTTGTGGTATAAAGCCAGAAATTTAAAGTACATCTTCAGACTTTTCTGAAAATGGTACATATAGTTACAGACCTAAGTAAACATCTTTTGAGAACTTGATGCTTGAGAACTAGATGCTCAGTGGAAGGGGTTTCTTTAACTATGGCTTTGGTATTGGTTGGGCTAACAGCATGCCAGTTTATTTTCATAATTGTTTCCTGTCATTATGACCACCTTTTAAAAGCTATTATTTTGTGAATTAGCATCTGATTAATATTCTTGACTTTTTTTTTTATCCTGATCGGCCATCTCGCATCTCATGCTTTGAAAGTCTTAGAAACAAAGATATGTAAGGAAATTCTCTCAGGAAAAAAGTTTTATCTCCAACAAATAAAAATGCATGCCATCCCTTTATTTTAATGGCTATATTATGTTGTAACTCATATTTAACATAGATAACTTTGAGCTGACGTTTTTTGCACATAATTCACTTGTTTCGTGCGTATGCTAAAAACGGTGTCTGTGCAAAACACCGAAGTCCAGTTTTCTTCTCTTAACCTGGTTTCTCTCTAAGACCTGCTTCTAGAGCAACCTGTAGGTACAAGGGATTTTTGTAGTGAATAAGCTTTAATTATTTTAACCAGGGGAAACCTGAAGTGTCAGAAAGGATGATGGGATATGTAAGATAGTTATTCATTGGTAAAGATGTATATTGTCTAAAAAAAAAAAAAAAAAAAAAAGCTATTGTCTAAAAAAAAAAAAAAAAATCATAGTGACATCTTTACTGATAAACTTAGTGTCTTCAGGTCGTCTGGCCTGAAAGTGACTTTAAGCACCATGGATTTGTTGAGTGTTGGTGGTGGAGTAGTTTAGACATCCCACCACACAACAACGTGTTTTATTGTTGTTTTCGGCTTTGCTTCTCCTGTACTTAAAGCAATCCTTTGTCTCCTGTTATTATCCATTCTTTTCTCACCAGTTCCTCTTTTCTTTTTCGAGTGTATTCTCTCCGTCAGTAGTTCTGATCTAGTTCAGTCCAATATGCCTGCATATGTTCTGTTTCTGAAACTGTCTTTGACAATGGTTAATTGTAGGCTGCTCTGAGTCAGGAAAGTCCTGAGGGGAATTTACAAAATCAATTTGATATTTCAATGCTTTATAATCCTGTCCTCAGCAAAAACAGCAGCAATTATTCTTCTCATTATCATGTAACCCTCACTGGCATAATCCAGGTGACACCGTGATCAGTCTTAAAATGCTGAGAGTCTGACATGTTGGCTTAATGGTACTTCGTTAGTAACTAGGTAGGAGAAAATGGGCTAATCCTGTGACCATCCATAATGAATCCCTGTGAATCCCGTTATCCTTTTTTCCTCTAAGGACTAACAAACCAGGATTACAGCAGCGAACAAACAGGAAAAATGCCAGCCAATGTACTAAGTTCTCCTTGCATTGTGGAAAATGCTAGAGGGAGTCACTGAGACAGCCAGTATCTTCTAGGAGAAAAAAAGAAACCTCTCCCTTTGTTCACTGTTTGTGTTACATAAGCTAATGCTCTTACTCTTTCCAAATCAAATTTCACTGTCCAGATCAAACCAACAGGCTGAAGAGTCGAGTTGCTTTTAGAGAAAGTATCGTGTGCAGTGATGAAGTAATGCCAACTCCTACTTCTGTAGACAGCTGTCCTCCTGTAAATTCATGTAGTAAGGAAGGTTGTATGGACTGTTACGAATATGCACTTGTGTCCTTGTCAGTGCAATTGCCCTGAGTTATCAGACTAAGAGTACCCATCAGTAGGGAAGACTTGACCTATCAGTTTTTTCCCACAAATACTGCTTTGGCTGGTAAGAGGTGAGAAATCTGATCTTCTCTGACTGCTCTTAAAGAAATCAGTGCATCAAGCTGCTGAGCAAGGACTGGGATTGCATATCCCCCATACAGAGCTGGAGAAATGCTTCCCATACAGAGGAGGAACACAGAGCTGCAAATGCAGATTTAAAAAAAATAAAACAAAATGGGAACTTTGAGACTAGAACAGCCCTGTATATTTTCAGTTAATAAAAATATTTCCATTAATACAGAAAGAATTATTTATGTCGGTGCTTGTTATCTTCCAAATGTATACGTAAAAGAATAAAATCAGCAGCAGAAATTATTAAAAAGCTTGGTTTTAATAGCAAGATTTTCTAAAAGTTTTGTTAGTGTGTTACAGTAAAAATCTACTTTTAATGTCTTTGTGAGCTGGCCAGAGGGAGCCATGTATAATTCCTGGGGCCAGGAGTCTCTTAAATAGCTGCTTTGCAAAAACTGAAAGGGAAGAATCAGCCTGTACCCTGGACTTTATATTCTTTTCTATAAAATATATTCATGGTTTTCTGTGGAGGACAGGATACTGGTCTAGCTGGATTCCTCATCTTAAAGCCAGTGTGACCAGTTGTGCTGCAAAAGGCATCACAATTGCTGAATTTCTCTTATTTTTGTAAGGAATAGATTTCACAAAATCAAGCAGTCCAGCCTGAATCAAAAGAGTCCATTGATGGTACTTTAGCTGGGTTCACATTCCTTTTATGCAAGCAATCTTTGTATATATAGAATATATATCCTACCAGTACTTCTTGCCTAACTATTGGGAGAAGAGCTTTTTTTAAGTTCTTGTGTCAGCTCTTTGGTGCTTGCGCTTGAGCCTCTCCCCATTCTTATGTCTCATTGACTGAGGTGCTCCTTAACCTTTTATGTGAAGGCTTACAAATCTTGGCATATCGGTCTTAAATCTTTCATCTGTTTAATCATTTCCAACAAATTGGGCTAAGTACTGTCCTTGTTCAAACTATTAAATATCACATCTAGTGCTTTTTTTAAAACATAAATTTGTAAAAACGAATATTTTCTCTCTTAATGTATTTCATAGTGTTTGGCTGCTGGTTCAATTATTATGAATCGTGAAATTGAGAGTATGGCTATGAGGCCCTTGGCCAAGGATCTGACCCGAAGCCTAGAGGAAGTTAGGAATATCATTCGTGACCAGGCTTTACGGGATTTGAACCTCTACACAGAAAAAATGAGAGATTCACTGAAGCATTTTGATGTCCTTTTTGCTGAATTTGAATTAAGGTAAAAGATTTGAAGTAAATGTGTTGTGAGCATTGGTTTGGCTACTACAGCTGTTGTGTGGCTTCATGGTTTCTGTAAGTTGACGGTTTTGTTCTCTTTTCTTTTTACGGAAAAAGTGTGTATTAATTATTGTGGTATTTGAATTCTTCAGAATTTTTTTTATTGGTAGATTTTTTTTTCCTTCCAGTGTAGCAATATTGAAAAGAAAATTAAACACCTTTTTAGCAATCAACATTTAGTCTCTTCAACTAAACTATAATCTTTCATTTGCGTACTGGCATATGGCATCTGAGGGAGGTTTTCCAAGACAAAAAAGGAAGCCATAAATCTCTTCTCAGTGTTTTCTTAGTTGGAGGAAAGGCAACAAATAAGAGACACCTAAAAAAAAAAGTATGATAACAAACAGTCTAGAGATTATGAGGTTTTGTTCTCTTGTGCTTAGAGATAAAAGAAAGATGCTCCAGTGAATTTAAGAAAGCAAATTGAAATCTGATGAAGGAAGTGCTTTACACAAGCCATAATTAACTGCAGGAACTTGCTGATTTAAAAACTTGTAATTGAAAAATGGCTTGGAGGTTTATAGCTTTGGGGGTGAAAAAAGTAACTGTTTATTGCGCCAAAGGTCACACTGACCAAGTCTTGCATTGAGCTTCGGAATTTAAGCCAGCTTCCTGGATGCCTGTCAGATGGTTGTGGTGCTGGGCATAGTTACAGGCAGGATGCTGGACAAGATTATCAATGGATCTAATATAATACAGCCATTCCTACGTTTAGCAGAACAGGTTTCTTAGCATTGGATACTGTCTTAAATTTTTATTGGGAATAATCTGTAGACTGTCTTGTCTCCCATTGTCCCATTGCTGTTTGCCCTTCCTCAGTGTGCATATTCTTTTGTATTATTTTACTTAGGTTAGCAATTTCTTCTGATTCAAAAAGCCATCGTTATACTCTTACATTGGAAAAACATTGTAGTTGGGAACGTTGGCTAAAAATGTGTTTAAGTGTAGCTTTGAGTAGAGACACTGGTGACAATCAGTAACTGGTCCTTGTCAGCGCCTGTGCACAGTTTCTGACTTGTCCATACCAACTCTCTACCTCCAACTTTTTTCTTTGCCATTGTTTTGCAAACAACTATTTCCTTTCCTGTGTTACCTGTAGTCCACAAATGACTGGTTAAGTAGTAGGGTGACAGAAAACCACTTCTACCAGTGTTTCTTGCCCTGTGTTATTATTGCTTTTGCATGTAATTCCACTTAGAAATAAGGCCAACTTTTAAGTCTCCTCAATTGTCTCTGCTGGCTAACTGAATTTCACTGACATAATTTCACATAAAACCTTTCTAGATAAAATGTGCATTTTAGACAAGTTTTTTTTTCTTAGGGAAATACAAAGTAACTATTCTACTTGAAGATGCAGCCGTAAAGATCCTTGTAGGACCTGCCTCCCTGTGCCACAAAGTTTGGAGTTCTGATTGCTAAACGGATGTAATTATACTTATAAAATACTACTGAGTTCCACGGCCTCAATCTGCAAATACAAAATGGTACAGGAAAGGTTATGTTTCTGAGATGATTTATCCTAGATTTGTTTGTATTTATTATCTGATGTGTTAAAATGTGTAAAATTGTAGTACGTTACTTTATAATCTTTTTAGTTATGTGTCGGCCATGGTACCTGTGAAGTCTCCAAAAGAATATTATGTACAGCAGGAGGTAATCGTACTTTTCTGTGAGACTGTGGAGAGGTAAGCATTTTAGTTGAGTACTGGGTTTTCATTTCTGTGTTTACTTTCAGTCTGAGCTTTTGTAGCAATACTTTAGTTGTTGTCTTTAAGAAGCATCATGAAACACCAGGTGTTTTGCTTTTCTAGTATGTATCCAAGTACAAAGTTAAAAAGCCTCAAGCATGCTTGCCAGGCACAAACTTATGCTTGTTTGTTTTTTGGACAAAAAAAAAGCTAATAGTCCAACAAAACCGATATTGTTGGTATGCCTACTTATAGATGTGTAAATGAAGACTAAGCATGCAAATGAGCTAAATCAGTTCAAGGCATTGAGACTTAATGATATTTTATGCAAGAATACGTGGGGAGATGATTCAAATCATCTGTGAACCTCTAGTGGTTATCATAAAGAACATGTAAAGGCTCTTCAAAACTTAGAGAACTGGAGCTTGCCTCTCTATGTATGAAGAGATGATAGTAAAAAAAACCTCAAAATGATCTAGCAATTCACAAGCTCTACTAGGAGTATTGAAGGAGACTTCAATAGTAGTTGCTGTATAGAACCCATTTTTTTTTCATTTGGTTGCTTAGTTTGGGGGTGAGAGGGTGTTCACCTAGAAGATTTTAGCACATTTTATTTGAAAATGAAACTAAATACTTTCCCCTATTATTTGAAGAATGTTTCTTTTAGTTGAAAAACTCTAAGCACCAGTGGTTTTCAGTAACAAACTGAAGCTTGTCATGAAATAACAAAAAGGGACAGTGGTGTAATTATTTTGGTTTTGGATGGCTAGAAACCTTTAAGTGTTTAAAGATGTTTTTCTTATTAAGATTTTTTTAAATCAGAGATTACAGCAGTCCGTTATGTACATAGTATTTTATATTGTGCAAAAATAGTTCACAAGTTAAATGCTATTAATTAATTTGGTTTTGCTTGTAAAAAATTTTACAATTTTTTTTCCCATTCAAATGTATTCTTCAAGAGTTTGATCTCTTACTAAATAATTTTATTCTTCTGCTTAGAGCCTTAAGGCTTGGATACCTCACTCAAGATATGATCGATGACTATGAGCCAGCTTTAATGTTTACAATTCCAAGATTAGCCATTGTATGGTAAGTAATTTTTTAAAAGATTCTCCACTCTGCCTCACTTAAAGGTTTCTTGAGTATTTCAAAAACTTTGTTCAGAATTTTGTCATATTTTCTTTCATCTGAATTTGCTTGCTTTTTCTTTGAAAAAATCGAAAAAGGAGGGTTATGTTTTGTTATGTTTTGAAATCATTACCAGTTTCATGTAGAATATCGAGGAAGAAAAGAAAAGAGAAGGTAGAACTCTAAATCTAGGAGGCAAGAACCTGGAACAATTGATCAGTCATCCTCCAGAAATAAACTTTAAAATGAATTCAGAATATTAGTCTATAGAATGTCACATTGTCAGAAATATTTTTTGGAAGCGCATATTTTGTGTCACTCAAACATAATATGACCTACGAATACAAGTCCAAAACAAAAATTTTCAATAGGAGTTATATATTTTTCCCAATGACTCCAGGTTCAGCGGGAATTGTAATGAAAATTGCATTGTGAACAATGGGTTAGGCTTAAATCTTTTTCAATGAAATTACTAACATTTATAACTTATATGTAGATTTGTGCCCTGTATTGACTGCTCAGTGGGTTAGGCTTAAGTCTTTTTCAAGGAAATTACTAACATTTATAACTTATGTGTAGATTTGTGCCCTGTATTGACTGCTCAAGACAACAAAATTAAAACAGTGGTTTTGCTTCATGCAGTTTTTGCAATAGAACAGATCAGATGCATTTTTCCTAGTGGGTCTTCAACAAAATTGAAACAGTGATTTTGCTTCATGGAGTTTTTGCAATAGAACGGATCAGATGCATTTTTCCTAGTGGGTCTTCGTGATCTAATAATACAGCAGTTTCTCTGGAGTAAAGCCAGCATATTTTTAATATTTTACCATCGTGAATGTTTTAACGTTAGCTCATGTAAGTAGTTTAATTGAGGGAAATAAGAAACCTCAAATCCTGGAAACAGTGATTTTGCTTCATGGAGTTTTTGCAATAGAACGGATCAGATGCATTTTTCCTAGTGGGTCTTCGTGATCTAATAATACAGCAGTTTCTCTGGAGTAAAGCCAGCATATTTTTAATATTTTACCATCGTGAATGTTTTAACGTTAGCTCATGTAAGTAGTTTAATTGAGGGAAATAAGAAACCTCAAATCCTGAGTGTAATACACTTCTCCTCAGGAAATCCCTGTGGCCCATTGTTCCTGTTCATTAGGATATTGTTTGTAACTGTCATAATAAAAATAATAACAGTAATAATCTGATTATCAAAAGACAATGGCAGTGTGAGAACTCAGTTTGAAGCTGCTGGAAGACACAATGAAGAAGAATACACTGTGACTAATTGGAAAACCAAGGGCTTTCTATACACTTCTCCTCAGGAAATCCCTGTGGCCCATTGTTCCTGTTCATTAGGATATTGTTTGTAACTGTCATAATAAAAATAATAACAGTAATAATCTGATTATCAAAAGACAATGGCAGTGTGAGAACTCAGTTTGAAGCTGCTGGAAGACACAATGAAGAAGAATACACTGTGACTAATTGGAAAACCAAGGGCTTTCTGGAAAATATACGAAGAAGAGTACACCGTGACTAATTGGAAAACCAAGGGCTTTCTGGAAAATACACCATGTCGATCCCGAATTACCAGGAAAGACAGAGAGGGAGAAGCCCAAGTTTATACCATGTCGATCCTGAATTACCAAGAAAGACAGAGAGGGAGAAGCCCAAGTTTAACTGCTCCTAAGTATCCAGTGATTTGAAAATAAATCACTGCCATGTGAAGTTCCACAGAAAAACTATACCATCCAGATTATGGTGTTGTCTGGGAGAAATGTAAGCCTTTTATTTGGACTGTGAAAGGAGAAGCCTTTAAATGCAAGACAGGTGCGACTGACAGTTGCTGTGCTGTTGCTCTGTGTCTTATTGAGAAGGATGGGCCTGGGGCAAGGAGAAGTGCTGGATCCCCTTGGTCCTCTAATAGCAAAGCTTAAAGGAGTACTTCTCAGACTTGTTTTTGTCTAAGGTTTCTTTTCAGACGTCAGTTTAGCCCACATGTTATACAATGTTATGTCAGCTAGTATGTTAACAGGTGTCAGCAAACTTTGAATTTAGTAGGAATGTGAAGACACACTTTTTTCTGATTGTTAATTCTTTCCATGGTGCAACTGTGTTCAAGCTTTGATTCATAACACTTTCAAAGGTCATGTATAGAGGCCATTTAATAATTGGGATTTTTTTGTGATCTAGCCCTCTTCTTTTTTTTTTTTAATTCTTCTGAGAGTTAAGCTCTCCAGAAAGTGAACTATACCTGGAAATTGCCAAAGGAATGGTGATATTGCATCAGTACAAGATCAGTCAGAGCCGCCTCAAGCTTCCACTCCGCAAGGAAGTAACACTTGCTTAGGCAGAATATTAGTATGTGAGTCAGCAGTAACTATTTCGCCCTGTGGCAGCCTGCTTGTTGAAGCTCAGAAACCTTAGGAAAAAAATGAAAGTATGTATCCTTGGTAACAGGATAATTTGACTTAAGCCACCAAAAAAAAAAAAGATACTTGCAAAAGGAGCAACTATTTCCCCGCACCCCCCCCCCACTTCTCCCCTTTCCTGCTCCTGCCTACTCAAAACCCTACTCCCCAAAGCCATGTTGATCGTGTTTAGTAGACGAATTTCTTGGACCTTCTGTTGCCTTGACAATTCTGAACCTTCTGATGGCCATCATCCAGCCTGATGGGAGATCACAGTACTATCCTGGTAACAGGGTGTGAGCCAGACTCTGCCTTTATAAACAGACGAAAAAGAGCATTATTTCCCAGATGGTAAACAGAGTGTAAGTGGTCCTTTTTTAAATACGTCAGTGGGATTTGTATGATTTGTGACATCAGCTTCACTGCTTTTTCTCGGAGAGCCTTCGGTGGCCACGCAGGGTGCTTGCTAGTGAACAGATGGTGAGCAAAAGACATCAACGGTCTTGTTAGTCAGCTGAGGATCCCTGTTACTCAGGATGACTCGAATGCAGAGTAGCTAGGAAGCTCTCTGAAGTTACGTGTCATTTGGGTGTAACACAAGGAACGTGGTTTTGAAATACAGTCAGCTCTGTTAATCAAGGTAAAGGCAGGAGGGGGAAAATGGTCTGGCTAAAATATGTCATCTCGAGTGTGAGAACATGTGATCCATTTGCCTTTGAGAAACATACGTTGTTTTGCAGTGGGCAGAGGATTAAACAGTTTTAAGCAGAGTGATGCCTGGTGTGGGTGGAATCCGCTTTCAGGCAGAATGTGGTATGATGCAGCAGATACGGTGAAGAAGGGGAATTTTGTTCAATCCCTGACACACAGACAGGTTTGGGCAGTAGTGATATGGTCAGGATAAAATATTGAGAATATCTCCAGTGAAGTACACGGAGGCTTTCAGGACCGTGAACTAACCTCTTTCCAGGGAAATTTCTGCAAGTGCTGAGTTGATTTAGAAGCATGGTATTATCAAAAAGTGTTTTATGTGATTTAGCAAATGTGTTTTCTTTTTTTTTTACCACATGTTAATACCAGGTTGTATTTATCTTAAAAAGTAGAGAAATAGGAGCTCAAGAGTCAACTATCTTACCTAGAAATTATTTAGACTGGAATAAAAAGTCACTTGCAGTCTCTTTCATCAGTGGGCTTTCCCCCACTTACTTGATAATCAGTTTCTTTGGGTTTTTTTAATGGATCAACTGCAACAATGAAATAAATACATGCTTTTGCTGTTATGCTTGCTTTTCCTCCCATGCTTTAGGGAGGAGGACAGAGGGGAGGGGATCTTTTTCCTGTTGCTTTAAATAGCATTTGATTCTAACTGTGAGTGAATAAGACAAAAATAAGATAACAATATGTAACTTGAGTGCAGTTCTAATGTTTATGTACAGTTGCTTTTCTGACTCCTTATTTAGTAGTTGCTCTGTGTAATTCAATTTGCATTTTTGTGTGTTTGTATTACAGTGGCCTTGTCGTCTACTCCGAGGGACCATTGAACTTGGACCATAAACCAGAAGATATGTCTGAACTCTTCAGACCTTTTCACACTTTGCTAAGAAAAATAAGGCAAGTAATAAAACACGGTTTTAACTGCTTCTCTTCTGAAGTGAAAGTCAGAGGCCTAAAAAAGACCACACAAATACCTAGAAAAGTGTTTCTGTTTGGTATGTTAACCATAAACTGTTTTCCTCTCGTCTGTCTGATACACCCATGAAATAACTAAATGTAGTTTTTCATTTCGTGGGAGTTTTCTGGACTTTCTCATCTTCTTGTGGATGTTTCTTTCTTTGTCTGAATATAATTTTATTACATTTCAGATTTTCTTTATGGTTGGATGATGCCTGAAGTACTAGAGTTGCAGTTTATTTTGGGGAGATCCTGTTCCTAATTACCATCAGTGTTTCTGTTTAACTAGGGTTATTACATTTTCTCAGTATGTTATGATGCAATACTCAGATCATTCTTAATCTAATAGAAATGACTATCAATTTTTCATATTGTGGATCTGTTTTTACAGGATGGATCATTTTATATATACCTCTTTGCACAGTGGTTCAGTCTTGGTAACCATTGGAGATGGCACTGAAGTATTTTTTTCTTAGTTGAGGCCTTTAGAAGACTGGTCTCTTACTTTGGAGAAATAAAGGTGTATCTTTAAAGGATCTTTATATTCTCTTTTTTTTTTATGGTTACCCTTAAAGTATTTTAAATGGGTGTTAAGAAAACCCCTGTTTTCTAAATCCATAAGCCCTATTATTTTCTTAAAATTCAGATTTATATACAAACTGCAAATTTTGTTCCTAGAAATCCCTAATTTGGCAGAAGTTTTTCTTTCTGATGTCCAGTTTATCCTGTTCATCACCACCTTGAAGGTAAAGGGGCTGAAGATAGTT